CAAGGGTAAGGGCAAGGCGACTGTGTTCATCGGAAGTGCAGCGTCGAGAACCTTTGATTTGGAGGCGGGAGATACGGCAGCTTTTCCAGATAATAGCGGGTGAGCATATCATTAGTCTTGAGGGAGTGAAGTATGTCGTTACTAATTCGCTGTATAGACACTATATCGAGAACACCTCTGACACGGAAGACTTGGTATGGATTGAGCTGTACAAGTCTGACAGAGTCGTGGACATTTCTTTAACCCAGTGGCTCGCACTCACGCCGCCCGAAGTAGTCGCGCAGACTCTCAAAGTGCCGCTGGAGTTCGTCAAGAACCTGAAGCAGGAGAAGCAAATCCTCATTTGAACAGCGTGGTATCTGTATGAGAAGGGTGTTGGCTACGATATTGGTGTAACATTGGTCTGCTTTCTCATACACTCTACTTAATTTGTCTACATTCGTGGCTCGATAAGTACAAGGTAGATGATGTATGGACGAAGAGAGATGAGGCCAATTGAAGAAAACCGCAAAGACGATGAGAGATATGCTATGCTAAAGAGATGTGGTGTGAATATTATTATTGGTTATAATTCTCATTGACGACGAAGCTAGTGTTGGAACACTTCTACCTCTTAAGACCTATTACTTAGTTTTGTTGTAATTATTAGTTCCCACAAGTCATTACCTGATCATGGAAACTCAATTGCTCACAGAGCTACCCAAGGGTGCAGGTGGGTGGGCAACCATCACGAGGTCACGATGGCATCCAGCGACTCATGTTTCGCAATTGAACCTGCAGAGCAACGAAAGCCTGATAAGCGGGGAACGAGAGAGGAGATACAAGGGAAATAAGCGCCTCGATGCCAAAAGTCCGAAAGCATCTCCAACTCCATCTTTTCCCCAATTGAGAGTTAGACGGGAGACGGGAACGGAAAATTCGGTAGGATGGCAGCACGCGTTATGCAGGCAAACCCCGGCGGACCAGAGCCGGAAACTCTATCAGCGAACTAGCCCAGCAGTCCTCTGGTCAAGCCGTGCCATGTTGCGATTACTTATGTGGTGCGGGCAATGAGGGGTGGTAAAGGTTGATGGGCTGTCAACTCAACCCATGCGAGTAGCCTAGAACACTCCAATCACGCGGAATCGTATGATTGGGGATAGATTATGCGGTGGTGAATGAAGCCATTGGTGACAGGAGAGGGTTACAGAAAAGCATCATCCCATTGACCGCTCACGAGCTTTTGGCCGTCCGCCATCACAGCGAACCTTCCTTGGGTCGTTCCGTCGTATCATGAGCTGCCTCGGCGAAGCGGCGGCGGAAATGGAACGGCCACTTTCGATTTTTGGGGGCATACCACATGGTGGTGTGAAGGGAACAAGAAACGCTGGGACGATCGGCCAAGCCACCCCTCGTTCGGTCTGGTTTAGCAGGTAGACGGCAGTTGTTCCGAAGCAATCACGACTTGGCCCAGAGTTGAGACCACATTGGGGGCGGAATGCGGGGAGACAGAACTAGAAACACTCGAGACAGTGGTTCCCAGACAGCACTCAGCAGCGATCTCTCTGGATGACGGACTGTGTGTGCGTGACTGTTGAACGAGGACGAGCTCTGATGTCGTTGTCGATTCTCCCTGACCGGTATGTCAGGGATGGCAGCTTTACGTCACTCCGATGCCTTCTCAGTGCTATATCAGACCCGGGGGATCATCCCCTCCATTAGCACTGATTGGCCAGGTGTCGCACCTGGGATTACCGCTTGCCAGTCAAAAGGCTGATAAGGCATCGAGATGAAGGCTCTAGAGGTCGCCATGACGGGCAAAAGGTCTGGGAGTTTGGATCCGGTTCTTTTGATAGTGTCGACCGGATATGCGACCCGCGGGTCGGCCGCAGGTACCACGGACGGCATATAGAAATGGAAGCCAACGAAAGACGACGGAGCATTGATACAGGTCGATCTGATGACTGTGCCCACCCATTGAGACCCTGAAGGATCGCCAGGGAACCGACCAGGGCCATCAACTTGTTCTTCTTGGATTTCGTCTGCCTCTGGGGAGACCTAGGAGGACTAGGCGATCTCTGGTCCGAGAATTGCGTCGCATTCTGTGTGGCAGTGCTTGAACACGACCGACATGGCTCGAGGGAAAGAAGAAGCCTGAAGGTCGTAGAGAAACAGCTCATCCCTTCCGTATGGGGTTGGGGCCGAGAGGTCAAGTGAACAGCTGGAGGGTTTCCGGTAGGACGGCACGCTGTGTCATCGGCAACGGTTACGCAGCCCGCGGTGGAGACGCGTTGCTGCTGCCGGGATGCTGCATTGGTCGGCAAGTCAGTGACAAACGAGGGATTGGGCTGTTGCTACTTTTGCCAAACATATCTTGGCCAGAGGTAGAAAGATTTACGTGAAGGGTTGGGACTTGAGATAGATAGGGAGACGATGGTGACAAACCTGAGTCTACGAGGCTCGAACTCACTCGCGAGTCCCACGAGTGTTCTTGGGGGACAACCAGCAACATGTCAAGTAAGTTGCAAGGTGAACCATGTCTCGTCGCGGAAGCAGCCCCTAGCAGGCACCTCTCTGGGCAAATAGGGACCTCTCCATGTCGCGGCTGTTCCATGAGAAGACGTCGCCGCCCCGTTATTTGTGTGTCATCGCGACCCGGCCAGAGTTGGGCCTAATGGAGCCAGATGGGCTGGCACAACAAGGCATTGCGCTGCAGAACGAGGTTAATTACATGGCATATTGTCTATTAGCGGGGAATAGGAATGGGTAGCCCAGCAATAACACAGACTGTAAACATTCATGCAGCCTCTGTGAATGGGCACTTTCCCCCCTTCCCATAGAACAGAATCTGGATCTTGTCCTCGACCTGAACCCTTCTTTTTATCATTCTCCCTCTGCCTATTTCCCGCTAGTCTTCCTTATGCTTTGCGCTTCCTTCCGGTGCACGGAAACCAGATGAAACCAAAAACTTTCCAGCTCGCATGGTTAGGTAAGGTATCCGTAGTCTGTAGACAAGTTGATGGCAGTGGTCCTAATCCACCACATCCTCGAACCCAATTGCCCTACCCTGCCTGACCTGTCAATTTTATTTCTTTCCTTCTTTTTGTGCAGTCACCCGTTCCAACTTCCCGCGCCTCTGACCATTTGTGTACTGTCGCTCGAGATGCCTTACCGTGGCGTCCATATTCACCTTGCGAGGTTTGAATTACATATTAGCAAGGTACCTTTACGATAGTTGTAGAAGAAGAGTCACACTGCTGTTCTAAGCGCAACCCCGATAGGTAAGTTAGGTAGAGCAGTAAAGGTACTCCCTAAGGTACAGAGTACGTACTTCACTCCAGCCGGCTCGCTCTGGCATTGGGCCGGCCTGACTTCACTGTCAAGCTCCCAGGTGCCCCCTCTCCCCAAAAAAAGAAAGGGGCCCCGCAGAAAACCGCACCCGCCGCCTTACAACCCACCTGCACCTCCAACTCCCGTCACAAGTCGCACCTGCATCCCACTTCCGTCTGTCTACCTCACCTCCAACCGACCTCCTCCCCGACTTCTTTCTTCCACCGATCTTTTTTTCTTTCGTCTTGTTCACATCGCGTATCTCTATTGAGAAGAACAAAATTCCCTTCAACAAGCGCGGAACCACCCAACAAGATGAACCCTCTTCAGAAGAACAAGGTCGACGTCTCGGTACGTTCAATCCAGCCACTCGATACCCAATGCCCCACCTTGAGAACGAAGCCCGCGATGGCATCACGGCTTGCATGACCAACCAATTCTTACTGCCTTATTTGACGAATCTGTTACTGACTCCTCCCTTTGCAGTCCCTTTCCCCTGAGGAACAGCGTCTCTTCCGCCTTTACGGCAAACTCCCCTCTCGCTCCGACCATTTCGCCAAGCACTTGAAGGACCGCAAGTACTTCGATTCTGGCGACTACGCCATGTCCAAGGCGGGCAAGGGTGACAGCGTCGATACTGGCGCTGTCGGATCCCAGCACCCTGTTCCCGAGAACATCCCCCATCTCTCGAGCCCCGTCAACAACTCCTCGTCCTCCCTTAACGGCAACAAGCACCACGGTAGCATCGCCGCCGGTGCCCACGCCGGCAGCCCTGTTAAGGAGGCGAGCTTCCTCAACAGAGAGACCAGCGCTGAGGAGGCCGAGCTTAAGGACCAGGAAAACACCTCTCCAGTCGACGGAGCCGCAAAGACCGAGGCTATCCCCATCCGGAGATGAGGGCCCTGCAGGACCTTTTCGTCTCTATCCTCTCCCTTGTCCCAAGTTTCGTTAGGGTGTTGTTGACACTACACGGCGGCAAATTGGGTTGTTTCACGGGGCCGAATTTCTACTACGATGTTATGATGCTGTGTTGTTGTTTTCACGGGTCTCCTAGGCGTTAGAATGGGGTTGGGAACCAAGTACAAATGGTTGTTGAATGGGCTGAGACGATTGTCTCTGAGTTTGTATGCTGTGGAAGGACTTGCGGATTACGACGCTCTCAAGGTCGCGCTACTGGATATCCTGTCCGCGATGTACGGCACTATTGCGAAGACTGAAGCTTTTCCGTACATGGTTTTTTTTTAAGGACGGAAGGAGGAGGATGAAAGAAGAACGACAGGCATATGGCGGCACCTAAATCGAGACCCCCTTCGTCTTAACTGCATGCGTATATGGCAGCATTTGCGTCCTTTCTCAAACCCTCCACTCCGCAGAGGAGGTCGAGTGCACAGATACGATCCTTACGAGTGACCACCTTGTTCATTCTCGTGGGTGCTCACGTGCTCCTCTGCCGACTACCCAGCTCTCGTCTATAGTCCTATGGAGGCTCTCTGCCTGCTGCACAGCTTAGAGTTGTTAATTAGCTCGATCCGAGCAAGTCACAAAAATGCCCACAGCTTTCGATATCAAAATGATGATGTTGCGGGAACCCAATCTATTGATGAGCAATAAGACACTTCTTTTGATGCCATACGCCGTTCCGTATCCCGGTAACCTCCCTCGCAGTGGACAATCCCTATATGTGCCCTTTTTCACAGATCCAGACCCTTGATCGCCATATCCTTGGCGCCCTCAAAAGTCTTGTTTCCTCCAATGAAGCCCGCAGCGTGGACAAAGACGCAGCCGGGGATGCCAGAGATGCCGTCCAATTCCGCATCTCTGAATCCGCGCCACGCCTCAGGCAAGGGCTTGCGGCTCTCGAAAGAGTCCTTGGTGACAGGCACCGCCTGCACACGCCACTTGGCATCGGGAGTCGGCTTCTCAGGGTACAGGACGTACACCACCGAGGGGTTGCCTCCCTCGAGGGAGTAGAGGTGGTCCTTCCAGGGTGCGCTCTGGCCCTCGAGGACGAGCACGCGGCCCTGGGGGTCGTACTGGGTACGCTTCTCGAAGGCGGCCTGCACGACGGCGCGGGCGGGCAGCCAGGCCTTGGTGTAGTAGTCCAGGTCGGCGTCAAACTCCTCGCCGATGCGGCGGCTGGCCTTGATGAAACGCTCGTCCTCGAGCTTCTGGGCCTCGACGGGGTCAGAGGGGACCGGATCGTTCCAGTTGGGGTTCAGGCGGCCGACGACGGAGCCGAGGGTGAAGGCGCCCTCGCTGAAGCGCTTCTCGAGACCGGCGGCAGCGACAGCCTTGGGGTCGTAGACGGAGATGCCGTTGTCGTGGGCGTCCAGGGCCTCGACGAAGCTCTCGTACAGCTTGTTCCACAGCAGCTCGACTTCGGCGCTGTCCTCGGCAACGGGGTTCTCGGCGCCCTCGCTGAGCTTCTGGGCGATGATGGCCTTGCCAAAGTGCATAAAGACGAGACCAGCGCTGGAGAGCTTGGTGTTCTTGCCGGGGAAGGTGGTGGCGAAGCCGCGCTGGTGGTGGTCGTAGCGCTTCTTGCCGTCGTCGTACTCGCCGCCGACATCGACGACGGTGTGGCAGGTTTCGAGGAGCTTGGGATCGCGGGTGCGAATCAGCTGGGAGTCGTGGTAGGTGGGCAGCTTGCGCAACATGTGCACGGCGAGGGCCTCATCGGCGTGGAAGTGGCCATTGTGGGTGCCAATGGTGACGGGTGACATCTTGAGTCTCTTTGCTGCGTTTTCGGCCATTCGTAGAGGTTTGAAGAAGCGGAACATACAATCGATGAACGGGAACGAATAATGACGAAGTTTAAGAATAAAAAAAGCGTTTGTGGGAACTGCAGTTCAATGATTTTCAACAAGTCTCTCTCTCAGTGGTGAAGGAAGAATTGGAGAGTTTGAGATGTGATAGTCACACCCCGCTTTGACACGCACACCCCACACCCTCTCACCTTGGGAGGTCGCTTATCCGAACTCCCCGCGTGGCTCTATTCTTGACGCTTTTCCCAAGCTCTCACTGGAGGGAAGTGGCCAGGAACGTGCATCGCAGCCTCGTCGTCGCCCTGCATCCGCGCGCCCGTGGAAACTCCATACTCAAGCAACAGTCAGCCGTAAATGTCATCAATACAAACCCCAAATCTGTCCCATTGCCAATGGTAGAAGTCATCTGCCATCCGCCCTCTACCGCCAAAAACCCCCTTCCTTCAATCGATCGATACAAACCTCAGAATTACGATTAATTGCTGCCCTTCACGACTAACGAAAACTCTCCCGTGTCGCCCGCGCCCATGCCATCCGCGATGAGCGACGCCAACGGCACCGTCGCGACCCGCGACGTTAAGGCCGAAGGTCAAGAGACCGAGGATGAGGAAAATGGAGAGGGAAAGGCGACGTACAAGTCATGGAAGAAGAAGTATCGCAAGATGCGCATCACTTTTGATCAGAAGATGCACGATTGCGAGGAATTGCATCGTCAAGAGTCCTTAGCGCTTGCCACTGCGAAGCGTATCGCCATCGAGAATGAGTAAGTCTTTTCTTCGAATCAATCTGCAACCTCGTTTCGCGTAGGTTATCGCCGGGTCCTTGCTAATCCTCGGCCACAGTCGCATACTCGATCTGCTGCTCGACATGAACTCCTCGGCTCAGCTGCCCTTTGACAAGCGCTTCGATATCTCACAAGACCCGCCCGAAGATGCATCATTCCCACCTCTTGATGTCGACAAGTCTGAAAAGAAGCCCGATGAACCTACCAAGTCATTGGACACACTCCTCAAGGAAGTGCCGCATTACACCTACTCCCAAGCCAAGGAGCAGGACCCCACTGTCGTGGCCGACATGGAACCCTTCTCTGGCGAGCCTCACCCTCCTTCGTTCCTGACGGCCGACGACATTGACGACTACATCCACGATGTTGACCGACGTATCGATCCTGATAATCTCCTCCCGACGCTGGCTCCGGTCGCCCGCAGTAACGCTCCTCTTCCGGAGACCAATCCGCACGCCCTTTCCCAGACGATCGCGATGAAGAACCCAACTAGTGTCTACAATTGGCTCCGTAAGCACGCGCCAAAGACCTTCTTACAGGATGCCGAGAACGCCGCACCCGCCGGAGACGAAGAAGCAGCCGAGGCACCTCCGACAGATGGCCGGAGGCGACGCGGCGGCGGCGCGTCAAGGGGAGAGACCCGGGGCGGTCGCGGATCGCGAGGCGGTAAGCGCGCTTCGCTCGCCGCCGTACGAGCCGAGAAAGCTGCGCAGCGAGCCGCGGAAAAGGCGGCCGCGGCGGCCGAAAGGGCAGCTGCCCTGCGCCGTGACGCGGACAGCTACGACCACAGCATGGATGAGGCTGACTCGGACGGTCCCAGCTTTGCGACGCCGGCCACGGGTCGGGGCAAGAGAAAGCGCGCCGGCAGAGACGACGACGATGGATACCGACCCCGGGGCTCGAGCAGCAGGCCGACGAAGAAGAAGCGCAAGAGCGAGAGCGCCGACGTGAGCACCCCAACCGTGTCGAAGAGAGGCCGCAAGAGCGAGCTCTCCCGCGACAGAGACGACTAGAAGCTGCGTCGATGTAGATTGCCAAGCTGGTCGTCGGATGACTGATTTTTATTTTGGGAGGCCAATGGACATATCATTAGCAATCGAGCTGGAACGCTTTAGATCATGATGAAGAAGCACGAAGCTCAACTTCTCTATGGCGCTGTATGCTGTTGCCCTCACTGGGCAACTGAGAGTCAATTCTGCACAGAAAACTTTTTCTTTTCCTAGACTTGTACACTACATCATGCATCGATGGATTCTCTTTTTTTTTTTTTCTTTCTTTCTATTTTGCCTTTGACCTATTGTTCTTTCCCACGCCCATCTGGCGTGCGGCCTCAGGAGCAATGGATGTGGGCAGGCTCAACAGAGAGACAGTGAGGACGAGACGGAGAGCTGGGGGTGCTGAAGCTCAAGGAAACGGCGTAACGGGATTTCTTGATCGGATCCAGATTGGAACGGGCAAAATTAGGGAGTAGCAATGGTACCGTTTTTCTTTCTTCATTTCTCCCTTCACATGCACTGCTGAATGCCTCTTGAGATGAGAGAGTCTGACTGAGCTCATTGGGACTTGCTTTCTCGTTCTTATTTCGTCGGCCGCGAATTTCGACATTCGGTATTTACCAACGGTAGCCGCCTCACTATGTACAAACAAAACTAACCCCCCCCCCCCCATATGCCTTGTGTCAATATGCTGAAACCAGATGATATCGAGCTGAAACAGAAACCAGAAAGAATAAAGAGCCAACGGAAAATATAGAGAGATTGATCCATCATGCTTCTGCTGCTTCAATATGCAAAAGAGAGAAAACAACATTCGCATGTGCACGTAAGTTAGATACAGAAGGCCCTCTTCTCCGCATACGCGAAGGGGGAACCTCGTAGATCGTAGATCATTCCACTTCCTTTCTCAAGTCTTGAAGGTTCGTCTATCCCATAGGAAGCCGGCTTTCGCCCCCCCCCCCCCTCTCTCTACAGAATGTAGTGTTTTCTTGGAGTCTACAAGGGTGCTGTTTGTTGTTTTGAACAACGGCAGGTCCGCGTTTCTTTCTTTGTTTTTTTCTTGTATTTACAACTTCTCCTTGAGGATGTTCTTCATGCGGCGCTCGACGGCGTTGAGGTACTCGTTGGTGGTGACGTAGTCAGAGCGGGCGGTCTTGCCGCAGGCGAGAGCCAAGTCCTTGGTCATGATGCCGTCAACGTCGACGGTGTCGATGCAGGCCTTCTCGAGGGACTCAGCAAAGGCGACGACCTCGGGGGTCTCGTCGAGCTTGCCGCGCTGGATGAGACCGCGGGTCCAGGCGAAGATGGAGGCAATGGGGTTGGTGGAGGTCTCGTTACCCTTCTGGTGTTCGCGGTAGTGGCGGGTGACGGTGCCGTGGGCGGCCTCGGACTCGAAGGTCTTGCCGTCGGGGGTGATGAGGACCGAAGTCATGAGACCGAGGGAGCCGAAGCCCTGGGCGACAATGTCGGATTGGACGTCACCGTCGTAGTTCTTGAGGGCCATGATGTAGCCACCGGAGGACTTGACCATCTGGGCAACCATGTCGTCAATGAGACGGTGCTCATACCAGATGCCAGCGGCCTCGAACTCGGCCTTGTACTTGGTCTCGTAGAGCTCCTGGAAGATGTCCTTGAAGCGGCCGTCGTACTTCTTGAGAATGGTGTTCTTAGTGCTCATGTACAGGGGCAGCTTCTTGGTGAGGGCGAGCTTGAAGGAAGCGTGGGCGAAGCCGGTGATGGACTCGTCAGTGTTGTACTGGGTCTGAGCGACACCGCCGCCGTTCTTGAACTTGTAGACCTCAATCTCCTGGGGCTCGCCGCCCTCGGGGGTGTAGACCATCTTAAGGGTGCCGTTGCCGGGGAGAACGGCATCCTTGGCGCGGTACTGGTCGCCGAAGGCATGACGGCCGATGATGATGGGCTTCTTCCAGCCGGGCACCAGGCGGGGAACGCGGGGGATGACGATGGGCTCGCGGAAGACGGTACCGCCGAGGTGGTTACGGATGGTGCCGTTGGGGGAGAGCCACACTGTTGAGAGGGGAAGGGAGCCATTGAGTTAGTCCATGTTCTTTGTACTGCTAGGTAGGGTTGCTTTGGGGTGCTTTAGGGTGCTTTAGGAGAGGGCCATTGATGGCAGAACTTTGATATGCGGCCACTGGAATTGTGCAGATTGCGAAGACGTGCAGAGGGGGGATCATATGCAATGCGCCGGCGCTGCGTCCCCGGAGTGCGGGGAGCGGGAGAATGAGACAGGTCCAACGGCACGGATGCGACAAGCACGGGGGATCAATCTGACCAGTACAACGGCCGGTGAGAGACTCCTGAGCGGGCAAGGAACAGTACCGGAAGAAGGGGGAAGGTAGACGGCGAAAAGACATCCGATGCGCGTTACTTACTCTGCTTAAGCTTGAACTCCTCCACACGCTGTTCATCGGGAGTGATGGTGGCGCACTTGACACCGACCGAGTACTTCTTGATGGCCTCGGCGGCGTCGAGGGTGACCTTGTCGTTGGTCTCGTCACGGTAGGGCAGGCCGAGATCGTAGTACTTAAGGTCGATGTCGAGGTAGGGGTGGATAAACTTGTCCTTGATGGTCTGCCAGATGATACGGGTCATCTCGTCGCCATCGAGCTCGACGACGGGGTTCTTGACCTTGATCTTGGCGGCGGCGGCCATTGTGCGGGCAAAGTTGAAGGAGGCGGAGGAGGAGAAGGAGGCGGAAGACTGGGGAACGATGAAGGAGGGCCGGAGTGCAAAGGTTGCGGGACGGCGGAGGAAGCGGGCTGCGTTCATGATGGGCGGTTTGTGAGGCGGCGCGCGGGAGCAATTGGGATTTGAGGGATTGTTTTCGGCTTTTCGGTCGGGAAGGCGGCGGCGGGGGAGCTTCTTGGGCCGCGGTTACTAGGAGGAGCCGGGTCGTGTGATCCGGTAGTGAGCTTCGGGTGGTGGCGGCGGCGGCAGAAGCAGATGCAACGGCACGATGACGGGCTTGCTGCAGGCTGTCAAGAGTGCAGAATGTACGAGCGGACGAGGCGCCTGACAGCTAAGCTACGAACAAGGTGCTGACGATCGCGAAGCTAAGGATGCTTCCTGTTGGTTTTTGGAGAAGGAGGAGAAGGATGGAAGGTTTGCTTGCAAAGGATAGACAGCAAAACCGCGGGGAGAGATTGTTTGAGGGGAGAAGAGTGGAAAGAGGCAAGATGGCCGGTTGCAATTGAGACCTTGTCGAAGCAGGAAAGGACAGGAAAAGGGCAAGTCGCGCAAGAAGTTCGAGCAGTAGAAAAACGCAGTCGCAGCAGCAGGAGAGAGCGGGATGGCAGCCGAGCCGAGATCGTCACAGGTGTGCCTTCCGGGGACCGGTGTGTGGGTGTGACGGTGTGAGGTAGAGGTACCACAACAGCTCTGTTTTTGCGGGTATCTCCTCCCAGTCTGTCACTCTTCGTTGGTCGCAAGGTAATGGCTTGTAAGTAGCAAGACTAATGAGAATGCTCAAAAGGCATGGATAGCATCGGCCCCCGGCCAGTCTTGCCTCAAGGGGTTGTGGTTCCAGTCCCTTTTCCTCCGTCTCGGACCTCTCTTCGGCCTTTGCGCTTCTCGGGGCTCATAATTCTGGCTCTGATGAGTCCTTTTCATCATCCTATATCGGCGGGCTCTGTGGCATTCTGCAGTCCCTATTAGATCTTTGGAGCTAGAGATGGAAGGTTTTTGCGATGTTTTTCTGGCATGACTCTAAGAAAGAAATATGGCAAAAGACTACCTACGAACAACTTTTTCGCGCAACCCGTCGCATGACAAAAAAGCAATCCGACGCAAATCTTCTGCAGCAACTCTTTTGCTGTTTTTTCTACAGTACGGATAGTTGTCTCAGAAATACCGCCTGTGACCCTTTCCTGGGCCTTGGCCCGTCTCTGCTGTTTGCGGACCAATGCCAATTCGTCATCTGCTCTGGGAGAGGCATGGGGAGCAATGCATGAAAGCAGCGTGATTGGAAGGGTTAATCGGCCGCTCTCTCATAAAAAAAAAATTACAGAAGGTCCCCCTTGTCGCGGATTTGTCCAGTCTTTCCTTCTCTCCCGAATCCCATGTCCTCCCACCACCCACCCCACATGTTGTCAGAGAGCTTCGTGCGGGGAAAGCAACCAAGACAATCGAGACGAAACAGCATCCCAAAGTTGGTCACCAGATGATTTTGCGCACAGTCAATTGTTTCGTCTGTTGTCGGCTTGCTTGCTGCTGCGCTCTGTTGTAGTTAGCTTTTTGTCGGATGGGGAAGTTCATGCTGTGGACCTGAACTTGAGATGAAGGTAAATTTGATCTTATCAAAGTATGGGGACGGCGAAATAGGCGTTTTCTCGGCATCGTGTCACTTTGGGCTCGCGTGCGGAATTTCTCCTGCCCGCAGCGACCCCCAAGACGCCTCAAGTAAAGTAGGGTACGGATGCACGGCAGCTTGATCGCATTCGCAAAGGAAGTTGTGCCATTACGGAGTACTTCAAACAGCTCACGACAGAGCCTCCTCACCTTCCCCTGCGATAGCTTCAAAGAAAAGAGCCAAAAAAAAAGACTTTTGCTTTCCAACTGAGCCCCGCCATGACTGCTTTTTTCCTGCATACAGCGGAGCTGGACTTGCTCCGATCTCGGTCGCACTAGGCCCGCAGTCCCGACCTCCCGCGATAAGATCACAACGACCACCGAAGGAAGCACCGAGGAATGGAGCTGCTTTTGTTACATAAGCAATGGGCACCCATCTCATCTCCTCTGTTCCTTACCGAAGCAATGAGTCACGTGCCAGTCGCATTGTCCCAGATGGCGTCCTGTCATCGGCCGCTGGCAGCGTCAGCTCAGCAAGCACAGTATCATTCCGTCCCTCGCGACCCGCGGGACCTCGTGCATGTACGACCGACACTCGAGATCAAGATTCACCCTGGCCTCATTTCGTGTATGAACACACACGAACTTGCGCAGTCGTCGTCAGGCGTGTAACTTTGCAAAAGGGCACCCCCTTCCCTCTATGTCTCCGCCCGCCTGACAGGAAGGATGGAAACCTGCAATGTAACGATATATGGTCCTTTTTTGGGGTTCATGGGCGTCTATTTTCCATTCCCATGCCTGTCAGATATCGATAGTTTGTAAAGCACAATGCCACTTTGCCTCAGCTGAAAAACCCCCGACGTTCTTCTTCGCCCTCGTCAGACCTTGGCGTACGGAGTTGTCTTTTTCTCTCTCCGTCTCTCTATTCCGCACTACGGATAATACCTGTCATTACCTACCTGGTATTAGCCCCGTATTCGTACCCTTTGGGTCTCGGACGAGAGGATATAACGTACAAGGCCGCAGGCGGCCCGGCAATAGCAACCGAGGATGGGCTTGCATCTTGCTAGGTACCGCTGTCTGCTGCCGCTGTCACTGCCACACTTTGCCCAGCCGTTTGTCTCAGTCGCATCTCACTACGTCTCACTTTCTTGGACCTCCTCAGCCCTATCCCAAGAGGTTTCTCTTCCGACTTCCAAGCTTTCCATGCCACACACTTCCCAGTTTTTCCCCTCCAGATCCTCCACATCATCTCACTTTCGTTTCTTTTTTTTCTTCTTCTTCTTCTTCCTCCTCTTTCTCAGGCATTTTTGTACATTCCACTACAAACACACACAGGAAAAGGCGGGAGTTTGCGGTTACAATCGATCGGGGTGGTCGGTCAGGTGTCTCACTCCTCAACAACAAAGACATATCGTAATTTGACCCTCGACCCTGTCGTCTGTCGGCCTTCATCCTTCCGGGCCTTCCTATGTATGTACCTGCAACCACGAGGAGGATCTTCACTGCAGTTGTCCGATCCAACTCTGTGACTTTGTCTTTTTTTTCTCTATACCAATTCCAGCCAGACGCCACCTCACCATGCCTAAGTCGCGAGAAAAAAGCCCGTCACGACACCATGAACCCCTACGCCCTTTTGTATCTCGCCCTTTTGTATCTGGGGTTTGGCAAAAGTTCCGCCCTTCCTTCTTCTCCCCGTCACTAAACTGCCTTTCTATTGCTAGTAAACAGCGGTGATACGGACAGTGATTATAATCATGACGACGATGATGATGATAACGCACCTTTGCCGATGACTCACCAAGTCCAAAGAGTCCGGCTATAACCCAAAGGAGAAAATAATCAAGAAAGTCAAGGGTGATTCAAACACACGAAGCTAATGCACAGCAATCCTCACGACGTTTAGTTCCTCCCCCCTTCCCCCCGATCCGAAACCCGTATCCGCCATGCCGCCATGCAATGTCCCATCAACCCATGCCACAATTAGCGCTAAACTAACTACCCAAGACCAAAACATCGGCGGAGTCGCGGAGTCGTTGATTACCTTATGGCTAATGACCGAGGCCAAAAATTAGGTGGCGAGAAACTCGCGAGAATAAGCCACAGCTTCGCTTCTTCCTCCTTGTTTCAACCTCATTCGTACCACCGAAAGCAACCAAGGTATTACTGTAGTAACTGTACTAAGCCTGCTCATCCGCATATCAACTTGCATCCTCGCATGTTGGGTATAGAGAGGGCAAAAAGAAAAAAGAAAAGGGATCTCTTGATATCCACTGGTAATACAGATTTGCTCTAAAAATCATCACCGCCTCATCAACCTCATCCACGCCTCTAATCCGCATAAACGCTTCAATACCCATTCGCCCAAATCATTTCCCTTGCAGCATGGTCCCCATGCTCCTCTTCCTCCTTGACTTGGACTTGAACACTATATTCCTTATACACTAACACTAATGTCTGCCTAAGTCTTTTTTCAACTCTTTTCGACTACGCCGTACACGTACGCAGACAGCATGGCCGCAAGCCCCGCGCGCGCGCGCGCAAATCCTGAAATGCTACCTGGGCGCGTTTAGAGCGTGATGCCCGCCTAACGCGCGCGCAGACGGAAACACATATTCCCAGGCGCTTCGGCAGGGTGGCCAGGCCATGCCAGGCCGTGCCAGGCCACCTAGGCCGTCAAATTCGGCATTGTCAATGGTTTTCTTATTGACATTGAATTCAGTTGAAGGGAGAGTATCCCCTATGCATAGCCTTAATGTGATGTCAAATCAGATAAACCCGGACTCATTGCCGAGCTTTCTGGTCTCACAGTCTTGTCTCATCTCACACACACACTCACTTAGCTAAGATACTGAGGCAAACTGACGGAAAAAATGCCAACTAATGTTATTATAATTCTCCCGTGAGCTGACGGGTAACACAAAAAGTAGAGACATGAGAAAGAAAAAAAAAGGCCCGAGGTGGTCCACGGCAGAAAAGGACCATGCACCATCCAATGCCCGCTACCTTACGTGGTTCTATGTAATGTGCGTGTGTGTATGTACCTCGAGGTATAGTATGTACGTTCGTTCCACCGTCAGCAATTATGTACGGTAATCTGTCGATTCTAAGCCACCACCGCCCGTCTCCCCGCACCCTGCAGCTTCCAATACAATGTCTCCCCCCCTTCCCATTCCATCCATCCCACATCATCGTGTGTCTCTTTCCAGTTAAACAAGCACCGAGAACGCCCTGCCCCATCAATGATCACCATCATCACCATCATCATCATCACCCATCCCGCAAGGCTGTCTCGGTGACACGGTGTCGCAATAGAGAAGCAGAAGCGCGCGTTTCACCGCATCCTTCTTCGTCGCCCTCCTCCACCTCAAATGCCACCACAACCGCATCCACGCCCGCTCTCTGCTCACCTTACCTTACCCCTAAGCTACCGTTCGATTCGGCAGGGTGGACGAGATAAAGCTCGCCACGGCACAGTAGTGTAGCTTCCTTCCGCGCAGGCAAAAAGCTTCCTTCCGTCATTCCCTAAGCGAGACCTCCGCGATGTAGGGTAAGGTAGATGGTCTCATCTAATGTGCGGGCTTAGCTTCCCGCTCCCCGTCAGCCGTGCGATGTTTGTATGTATGTAGATGCATTTCGAATTCAGGGTATCTGTGTCTTTCTTGTCTCGTTGTCTGCCTTTTCCTCTCGGTGGATTACTCTGTAATGTCTTCCTGTTTCCTTGGGCCGAAATCGTTATCGTCGTGTAATAGTGTAGTTTGTCGTAATGGTCATCGTCGTCCATCTCCTCTCCTCTCCCCTCCAAACCCCGTTCAAAGGGAAAAAAAGTAAGCCGTCGTCCGCATCCATCCGGTTCGACAATACCTCCCCATCCCATCCGATCAGCCCAGTAAGGCCCCGTGCCGCAATGCGAGGAGACCGAGATGCCCGCCCCATATTAAACCATTACAACCACCTCTCATGGTCCCGAATATGCCTTGCGCCACACCTGCAAGCTGCCCCAATCGTCGTATCAACCCGTTCTCTCGTCCCCATTCCCCCCCAGTCCCAAGACTATTGAGCCATAAGAAGCCTGGGAAAAATAGACACAGCCCCACCGCCATGCAGAAAACATAAGGAAAAGCGTCTCGCGACGTACAGCCGTCTATCGATCACCACACATCTTGTGGTAACACCAAGACCACTAAGACCGCTAGGCTCAACCACCCTTGCATCCTCCGACCATGTGCTCCCTGCTTTTCGTGTCCCTGCTTGCCCATTCAGAGGAGCGAATGGGTAGCCAAGTAGGCAAAGGTTCCCAGGGCCCAACATCGTCAGATGTGCAGTGGTCAAAGCCACACAGCCTGCATAGACTTCTTCTCGAAGCCTTCCCACATGGGTAAAGCCCGTCGTTGGAAAACAACCTCTTCCGCGAACCTCACACCCTGCTGCTCCACATGACCGCCTGGGACCATGCAGTCTATGCCCAATCGTATCTAGACTCAGTAGGTAACATCATGGTCTGTTGAGCTTAGGACGGACTGACTTTGCTGCGACTGTTGCTGGCCACCAATTCCGAAAGAGAAAGTGAGCTGCAACAAGGCCGAGTCATGCCGACGTGATTGGTCGTGCAACCCGACTCTATGGTATGGTTGCCAACGTCATAAGCTTGTGTTGCCTCAGCCGCACTCTTGTCAGTGGGCCGAACCAAAGAAAGAGAGATGTGTTGCCGGGTCGCTAATAGCCAGCATGTCGTGTCGGGCGACGGCCCTGGCTCCTGTCCTCCGGGACCTGGACTTCGTTTCGCTGTGAACGTTTACCGCCGTCTTCCTGTGGGGAAAAGCAACCGGGGCGTCGTTTTCCAAGCTCTTGCAGGTGCGTCTTCACCTCTAGGCATCAGCTTTGTCCTTGCCTGTGGCCCAATGGTGATCCGCCTCCGACGATGGGGCAGTGCCAACGATGACCCTCAATGCCAACCTCGCGCACGCTTGCGTTTGTCTTCACACGGATTCTTGCACTTGGGGCAAACGTGGTCCGGATACGAATTGACATCGACCCTTATCAAGCACTTTGAGCACCGCCACCATCGCGACGAGAGATTGCGTCCTTGGAGCCAGCTGTCGTCCACGTGGGTGCCCCGCTTGAAAATGTCTTCGTTGTGATAGTCTCGCAAGTGATCTCTGAAGTGGTCCCGTCGTCCGAATGGTTCGCTTCTTCGCGAGCACTTTGGATAGTCGCACTTGTGAGCTTCCTTCTTTGACGGGTCCTGGTGGACTTGTCTGTAGTGTCTCTCGAGGTCGGCCTTGCGCTTGAAAGGGTTTGCTGTGCATCCCGCCTCGAGGCAGGGGAATTTGTAGTCCACGACTTCTTGCTGCTCTTGACCCCTGTGCACAGCATTGTTAGCACCGCTTAATCATTTCTTTCAGAGGCCTCCGCATTGACTGACCCTTGATGTGGTATTACTGTTGGATACTGCCCTGCAGGAACATATCGTGGTTTCATCTGCCAGTAGCCTCCGTCCTCGGTGGGAACGTAGTCATACTGTGACCAGTCTACATTTCCATAGTAGGGTTCAGACGCTTGTTGTACCGATGAAGATGCAGCACTCGCATACTCGTCCGCATAGTATCCTCCGTAGCTCTCGTCGTAGCCGTCGCCATAGTCGCCCGTCGGAGAGTGACTCATATTGTGCGTGTATGAGTATGACATACCAGGCGAAGAGCCGTATGAAGATGGTGTAAGAGGCCCTCGGGAGCTGATGTCGGAGGGTTGACGAGCAAGTTCCGGCGCCTCTAGAAAAGTAGGGGAGTCAAGGTAGTCTCCTGCCGATACTGGAGACGTTGCGTTAACATGATAGCTTGCTCCGCGGTAATAGTGGCTGTCCATTGTTTCTGACTTAAACAAGTGAAACTGTCGTGCTGTCTAAACCGTTTATATCCCGGCTTCTGGATAGCAGTTCAGTAAAGGGAGGGTGGTCTCGCAAGGTTGGGGGAGCATACAACATTTAAAGGAGAGTAAGCAGTAGCGAGGAATGCCGGGAGCCAAGGAAAATCTACCAACTTACATAAATGGGATGCCAGTGTCAGACTCGTGGGGGGGGGGGGGGGCGGGCTGGTTTCGGAGAGTCAAAAACGTGGCTCACACATAAATCCTCATGGAAATAAGGTAGCTTAGATTGCGGGTAAGTAGAGTGTAGGCAAGAGTCCTCGTCGCCGTGGGTTGACAGTCCAGAAAGGAGTGGAAGCCTGTTCGTGAACAGGGTAGGTGTTAGGCAAAGTGCAATACTGAACAACACGAAGACCCGAGCAGATGAAAGGTTTGTTGAAGTGATTCCCAAATGACAAGCTCACGAATGGAGGGGGAAGTGGGTGGTTCAAGTATGAGCGGGACAAGGCAAATTCAAGTTTCACCGCCTTGGAGCTGGAAGGAATAAAGGTGACAGCGAGACGTCAAGCGGCACAGATACACGAGCAGGCGGTAGAATGGGGTCATGGCAACCCACCAGCACAAGGCTTCAACCTCCGTAAGACGACCTTGGCTATGGGGAGCCTCAAAAGAGCGGGCATATCGAACGTCGTAAAGCTCCATCAGCCCCCGGGCCATTTCCGCGTAGGGTGAAGATGGGATAGAGTTGTCTTGGCCATACGGCGCGAAGCGAGGAAACAACTGCAAGTGCTGGGGTTTCTCCACCAACTTGAAAGTCTGATCGAGTGAGAGGCGGCCCTCGGTGAGTGACATGCTTCTAGAAGGGGGCTTAGAATCGCCAGCCACCAAGTCGATGGATTCATGTGGGAAGACATGCATAACTGGCAACCTGGTCTGAAAACAAACCGGCGAGATTCAAGATCAGGTCAGCCCAAGACCCGCCAGGTACTCCCATGACGATGCACCCACCTATCACTCGACAGGGCTGGCGGCGGGGTGGTTAAAGAGCGCAGTGCATTCGAGGGGGCCTCAACGACCGTTAACATTTAATCGAAAGGGGGGGCCAGTTCCGGCTGGGCAGTCAGCTCTGAGTTACCATGAGTGTTTTTGGGCCGACTTCATTGGCAAAGGTACTGACGACCCAAGACATGTCTGGCAGACCCAAAAGATAAACTGGGGCAAAGAAAGGCCCCATTATGGAAATGTTTATGGTGGTCGGTTTGTACGGCACGGCAGGGTTAAGGTCAGTCAACCCGGAGTTGGGGACTCGAGGTACCGCGTCTAGTGCAGGACCGGACAAGGGGCGCGAAAACAAGCCAGTAAGCTATGAAAACGACAAGTGCGAGATATGTCATGGTATGGCAAGAGATTGTCGCTCAGTGGCATAGCAAACTGGATGGTAGCAATTAGGGCGTTGTAGGGCTCAGGCTCGGGGCGGACTTGGCAGGATGCGATGCGGCTGTCGAGATGGACTGAAGATCGGAATCGCGGAGGAGAGGCTTGACTGGTAGAGTATCTCGTTGCCTGGCCCCGCACTGCCACACTAGTGTGCGCGTGAACGCTTGCAGTCCCAGCCCTTGCTACTGTGCAGGGTCCAAATGCTAGAGTGGAATCAGCCAAGAAACAATGGTACCGCAAATCATGAAGCCCTCACTGGTCCAATCATAACCGGGTAGGTGAGGCCATAGTAAGCCTAGGGGGCGGTTTGGAATCCAATGGAGTCTCTCACTCTCTGGCGGAGGACCCCTCTGCCCAGCGAAGCGATTCCCCTCTGGGGCAGGCATTGGATACGGAGTACCGTTGTACCTCGGTTGCTTTCCTAGGAGCGAGTTGTTGTGATGGCTCACTGATGGATTGTGTCGTGCTGCGCAGCGCAGTTGCAGTGCAACCATCGTCACATCGAGGTATTCCATCGGGGGCCAATCCGCTGGATCCGCCGCAAAGCTGCATGCTGCCCACCGAAATAGCCTGAGACGTAGAAGGACTGATGAGTGATGGCCAACCAAGTGAATCGGTTCCGGGGCGATTTCAGGTCCGATATCCTGTCCCCTCGGCCAGGTTGCCCCCTCTGAGCGTCTGCCGACCCTTGACGGGGAAGAGTGACACAGGCGGTGACGACAATGATGACTCTGTAAGATGGTGAGGCTTCACCTTTTTCGCGCAAACGACACCATGCAATGGTCAGGTGTCTTTGGCAAGATAGGTAGGTGCCCTACTTCTCGCGCGGATACGGAAGAATCGGGAGATAGCGCGGGCGTGCTCCATGTCCGGCTGACGGTCGATGCAGGTTTGGTTCGGTGAAGCAAGTCAGAGAGGATACGGCGATACGAAAAGGTGCCTTTTTCCATCATGCTGGTGTAACTTAGAGTATGTTGGATCTTCAAAAAGGCGCATATCGAGTAGGAGTAGGATCCATTCTGATGGGCCCTTTGCTCGGACGAGCCATTTTCTGGCGTAAGAAAACACAAAGACCAGGTATGCGATACTGTTGGAAGAGGGTTGAGTAACCTCGAGATGTGGATTCGGTCCAACGAGTTGGAGTCACTTGGAGAGGTGTCGGAGCCTCGTGGATGGCCAGAAGAGACTTTGATGACTTTAGGAAAAAGGGAGTGATCTCAATAAACCGCTCTGCCAACAGGCCTTCGCTGGGTCCTACCCTTGACACTTGACTAGGTTCATGATTGCTAGTTGGGAAGGAGGCAAGTTGGCAGGTCCGCGATGCGCCCGGGGGAAGGAAAGGTGGGCCCCGACAATCTTCTAGAAGTCTTCCATCGCTTGTGCAAGGCCCTGTCAACTTTGTCGGAAGGTGGTGGTGCATCATGACCCTCCATTCGGCCTGCCGCCTGCCCCACTAACCTTAAGGTACCTTCTTCTCACGTTCCACCCTCTCGACCTAGACTCTCGACACGTTGTGTGCTTTAGAGTTGCGGTACCACATCTCAACATGTTCCTTTACACCTGGCGAATCATTACTACCTTAGCAAACGGGTAGGTAAGCACGCAGATGAGAGACTGCCGCTTTGCCGCCGTCGACTCGATTACGTTGCCCTTTCTTCCCTGCACCTACATGTGTCGACGGGACGCTTCAACAACAATGGCCAACCTTACTGGTCTTGGCCCGGCCAGTCATTTCGCTTCATATCGAAGTGCCTCGTACCTCCTGGCCATTTTCGCCCGGCTTGTGATAGCAGAAGTGGCGGAGTGATTTATTGCAGAATGTCAATGGTTTGCGCTGGCCGGAAAGCTTGATTGCAACCCTCCACACTTCCATGCTTCGTCATTGTCGCCTCAGCCCTGGCGTTGGTTTTGACCATACGGAACGCCCACCGGCACATCCATAACCCAATTCGTCCTGGGTCGCTACGTACGTCTAAGACTCGGAGAATCGCGGGGGATAAGGTATTCGCCAACCCACCCGCAGGCGACTATGTTTTGTGTCACGCAGAGACGGATCCACACGGGGCAACTGTCGGGGTGGCCGGAGCTTCCAAGGAGTCCGGTGGTCGACTTCTCAACTTATTTCGGCCGAGCCTGGATCCAGACGCCGGGGTGCAAGCCGTCGTCGACTGCCCCCAGCTCTTAGAGTGTCCGGTGAGGTAGTTGTATGGAGTACTGGAACAGGCCATCTCCGACAGGGCCAGAACCCGCTGCACCTACCGGGATCTTATTTTGCCTTTATGCTGACCGCCGAGGACAGGGTCCCTGATATCATGGCAGGGCAAATGGCCTTGGCGGTGTCGAAAGTGCTCAATCAAAGGTCACGCGCATTGCGAATGTGTTGTCTTGTCTTCATGTGCAAAAGCCGAATTGAGGTGGCCTGTAGCCTCCCCCTTTCATAGCCAGTCAATAGTCAGTGTACTTCAACAAAGGTGAGCCAGATAGACCTTGGCTGTATGTTTCCGCAAAAAGAGGCAACGCCGTTCCTCCCGATACCAATGGTTTGAGGCCCCCATCCCAATCCGAGGCTACGCCTGGCATGAAACCCCGTAAACCTTGCTGCCTATTCATACATCGTCCTCGAGGAATTTGTACGCGAACTTGAAATCCGCCTTTCTTCGGTTCATCCTGCCCGTCGAGTTAGCTTAATTACCTCAGTCTAACGTCTTCAAGTGGCTCACCATGTGCTTTCGTAGTCGAAGAAGCGGTATGTGCCCTGCTCGAATTCTTCGGTGATGTTCTTTGGCTCTTCGTGGCGCTGGAACCAGGTCTGATATTGCTTGTGGAACCGCCAGCTCTGGTCCTTTAAGGCCTTGGCAGCAAGGTATTGCTGGGGCGTGCCTTGCTTGTAGTAGAAGACGTAGAACAGCGTGTCAGGATCAATCCGTGAGTATAACCGCGGGTCATCAAACAAAGGGAGCGGCTCTTGAGGAAAGCCGACGCCGGTCGATGTCAATCGCAAGTCGGGGCGGTACGTTCTGGGTACATCTGCGTCCATAATGTCGGGGCATGTAGCCTGACTCGTCTGGAGCATGCGTTGCGTGGATGGCGAGTTGAGAGGCGCCGGGCGCTTGCGGGAAGCTTCGAAAGATTCGACGAGGTCTTGCAAAGATGACGGGAGGTGATATATAGACTCTTCCTCTTCCTCTGCTGTAGGCTTGGCCCCATTCGTGGCACCATTTGTTTGAGATGCTAAAAAACATTAATTAACTATGGAAACTGGTCACGGTATTGGGCGGCCTTACCTTTGGCTGCTCCGGAAGCACTTGCCGCAGCCTGCTCCTTTTTCGCACGCTTCTCTGCCTTGGTAGTGGCCGAGACGGCTTTTGCGCTTGTGCTGGTGCTTGTGCTGGTGCTGGTGCTTGCGTTGGCGCTGGCGCTCGCGTTTGCGATTGGTGGTTCGCTTGGAGTTGTTGATGGTGGTGGTGGCTGCTTGGGTTCGGGCTCCTTTGCTGCAACAGGATGCGCTGATGTCGTTGCGGGTGAGCTTGTTGCGCTGGTTTTTGACTGCGACCCCGGTGTACTGGCAGTGACGGGTGCTGCGCCTGGTGGAGGGGGCAAGGGAGAGATGCCGATCTTGTCTGATGCTGCCGCTGCCGCCGCCGCAGACGCGTATTTGAGGCCTTCGGCAGGTCTTGCGGGGGCTACCGCTGGCTTCATCGTAGGACCAGTTGCTGCGCCATTGCCAATGATTGTTGGCATATGCAAGGTAGCTAACGCAGGCAGTGGGGACTTGTTCTGTGAGCTCGACCTGCGTCCTGAAGCAGATGCCTCTGCTACCGCCTTGGGCTTCGGAGGAGCCTTGATGATTTCTGGCTCGGGTGTCGGTTCCTCCGCTATTGACTGAGCGTCTTGCGATGAGCCCTTGTCGCCATCTTGAGCTAGGCCGAACGCGCCCTCGTCCTCGTCCAGAGCAAGCTCTTCGTACATCTCCTCGTCTTCGACAAAGTCATCGTTCATGCCATCAGAGACGTAATATCGGATCGTCTCTTCGAGTTCGGTAACCTGATCCGTGTCGACTCCGCCGTTCTCTAGAGACCTTCGAATAAGCTCTAATTTGCCCTGATGCCACTTGTGACGTTCGATGATGCGCTCGATCTCGGCCATTCGTTCCGCCTTGGCAGTTTGGCTCTTGCCCTTCTTCATCGTCGCTTGTATCGATTCGGCCTCGGCTTCTAGTGTTTCGATTTGTTGCTCGAGCTCGTCGACCATGCTATTTAGGAAATCGCTAGCCTCGGCTTTTGCTTGTTCTTGGGGATCGAGCTTGGCTGAAGAGGCCAACCCTTCCTTGGAGTATGCCTTGGTCTTCATAGCCTTCTCTACGGCCTTGAACTTTTCCATTTGCTGCAAAAGGGATTAGCGGGACCGCGGGGGAAGAGCTGCGACCGGGGAGCTGGTAGACCAACCGTCTCGATCAACCTTCGGTGCTCCAGCAAAGGAGACTTGTCCTTGATGTCGTTGCTTGCTGCCCATGTCTTGATCTGATCGCGGAGTCTCTGGAGCTTCTTGATTTCGCGCTTGAGGTTGTCCTCCAGCTTCTCTTTTTGGGAGATGTTGTTGGATTGCTCAATCTTTTCGTAGATGGCCTCGAATTCGGCGACGCCTTCCGCCACCTTCTTGAAGCACTTGTCGACTTCTTGTTGGAGTTTGCGTGCCGCCATCTTGTCAGGTTGTGTGTGGCAGAGATGAAAATGCTGAGCCTAATTACGTGTCTCGATACCGACGGGTTGGGTTTGTCGGTTGTGTCAGGTGTGTCGTGATTAACGTTGGTTTTCAGTGAGCTGTGCTCGTGTCGCAGACGGCCGTCGAAGGGGTGATGGGCGCGATGTGGGTGGATGAATGAGGGGCTTGTCCCTCGCGTGACGACTGCTACGCCGTGTTGACCGGCGTTCGTTGGTTGCGCAATACGGGTTTGCTTGCCGGGGAGTGAGGCGTTTGATGTGCTGAGGATGCGCGCATGCAGAAGAAAGAGCTGGATGGAAGATGCTGTGTGGGAGGTGGAGGGTGGAGGTTGCTAGTACCTGAAGACTGATAGAGAGTGAAACATAGGGATGTTGTAAATACGCTCTTTCAAAGCTACAAAAGAGGCCCGTATAATTCAAAGAACATCAAAGACACTTTATAAATGGTATTTTTCTTATTAATGGTCATTTCTAATGATAAAATGACTCATTATGGGAGTATAATGACATGCAAAGCTAGCCCCGGCTTCTTTCCATCTATCAGACTGAAGTTTAGGCTACTTCGACGTCGTCACTGAATATGACACGGACCACTGTCGAGCCCAGCCTTGCCAGCTGTTTTCCGCTGTGTTCAGGGATGCGAGACTGGCCACTCTGCAAGATACCTTATTACCGGTAATTCAAATCAGGCAAGGCAATGTGCTAGGTAATGCCATTGGTCTTGCCCTGAAATCCAATCGCAGGAATTTTTTAGCAATATTGAAGGGCCGGCAGACAGTAGCGCTTGTGACTTGCCAAGCCAAGTACCGATCTGCTGATTGCTTCTCTTCCGTCTGGTTTGTCGCCCGTTTGCCTGTTTGTTCCCGACGCGCTCGGGTTGTAGCTTGCATTTTCCGGGGCGATACAGACAACTCAGCGGTCTCCAGCTACTTCGTTTGTGTTTTGACTTCGTTCTCATCCGGGTAACAGTGTCGGAGGGGTCCACGTTCCGGTCTATCAATCGTGTTTGAAGAGCTTGTCGCCGAAAGCCAGCTTTTGCTATTCTTCGTAGGGCACCTGGTCTGGGTCTAAGGTAATTCTACTGCATGGTCTCCAACATTGGCAGTGGTGCGGTGCAACATGAAAGGTGAGACTGCCTTTCCTTTACTGAGCTTGTGCCTGGTGATGTGAGATAATGATCCCTCCTAGCTATCGTACAGCGGGTGCTGTCTGGGTCAGTTACGGTGGACAACGAAGTGATTTCCTCCATTGGAAAGGGGCTTCTTGTTCTTGCTGCTGTGGCTCCTGAAGACACAGAGAAAGATGCCGAGAATCTAGCAAACAAGGTGTTGAAGCTCAGGATGTGGGATGACGATGCCGGCGCAAGGGTGCGTTTGACCAGATCCTGACCATTACAATACTTCCATCTAATCTTGTCTCAGTGGAAGAAAACAGTCCCGGACATTGACGGAGAAATCCTCTGCGGTATGTAGGCTGCCGTTCTGGGCTCCAGAGATGGGCCTTCTCAAGACACAACTCATAACCCTTACAGTGTCTCAATTCACGCTTTTCGCCAAGATCGTCAAGAACAAGCCGGATTTTCGCCTCAGCGCAGGAGCCGAGGATGCCAAGAGGCTCTATCACCATTTCTTGCAAAAGTTGCAGGATAGCTACGTCGCCGACAAGGTCAAGGATGGACGCTTCCAGGCCATGATGGCTGTGGCTTCCGTCAATGATGGACCGGTCAGTGACCCTTGAAGCCAACGACAAACTGGTTATTTTGTACTAATATGAGTCTACAGGTCACATTTGAGCTCAACACAGAGTCGGTAGCTAAGCCCTGATCGCTCTCAAAGTCTTCCGGATGCCATGTGCCACGACCTAAGGTAATAATCTAGCCTCGCTCGCCTGGCAAAAGCAAGGGGTTTACTTGAGCGGAGCCGAGGTACGCCATGAGTGCAGCTTGCATTCTGTTCGATCGAAGGATCAAGAAGCGCTGCCAAACAGTAATGGGCCTGATAGACGGTCCGCTGCGGTTAAATATACATCAGGATGGTCACAATTCCTTGCCTCAGACATAGAATTCTGCACATAGATGCAACTACGATAGGCTTGTCATTTTTTATGATACCTTATCTCAGAACGCAGGCCGGGACATTACAGCTCAATTGCATCAAGGCTGCCTGCTTCAGCTGCATCTCTTCCTTATGTCTCGTGTTCCCGTTTACCTCACGTTGTCTTCACGTTGTCTTCTTGACCTGAGGTAACATACCTCAAGGTAAGGTAGGTGAGATACATCACCTACACAGCAGCTAAGGCAAGCACCTAATGGAAAAGCCGAGAGCAAGGCAGGAAAGAGACATTGGTAAGAATAGCACCCTCTGATTGGTCCATTCCGAAGCTGTTGCTCCTTCCCTGTGAAGCATGCAGGCAGTGGGCAGCGGGTGGTGCGACTGCCCCGCGCACAGGCGTCCGAGCTACCAGAAAGTTCCATCGTACCTTCCCCCACCTTCCAGGTTAGCTCTGGGCTGAAGCATTTATCGTCCGCCTCCACCACCAGCGTTCCGGGGATTGAGCTATACCTTACCCTAGGTACCTTACTTTCTCGACTCAATCGTATGAACAACACTTCTCACATTCAACGTGAATCAACGACAGCTTCCTACTAGCTTCGGCCCAATCATTGGCAACGTCTCAGTCTCGCGAATCTCGTTTGCGGCAGCCACATCTACCCCGCACTACTGGATCGAGTACAAAGCCCCAGCCTGATCAACTTCAAAGAGTCCAACTTGCACTTCAGAACGCAGTCACAATGTCCGCCGAGGGAACCGAGAACAAGGCGGCGCGCTCGCGCGTGTTCTTTGATATCACAGTCGGCGGTAAGTCCGCAGGCCGTATTACCATGGAGCTCTACAACGACCTCGTCCCCAAGACGGCCGAGAACTTCCGCTGCCTCTGCACCGGCGAGAAGGGCCTGGGCAAGTCCGGCAAGCCCTTGCATTACAAGGGCTCCATCTTCCACCGCGTCATCAAGCAATTCATGATTCAGGGCGGTGACTTCACCGAGGGCAATGGTACAGGCGGCGAGTCGATCTACGGCGCAAAGTTTGAGGACGAGGCTTTCCCTAAGAAGCACGACCGTCCCTTCCTCCTGTCCATGGCCAACGCTGGACCCAGTAAGTGCGCTTCTATGTCTGGATTGGGGAGACTTCTTGCTGACAACGCTACGCATAGACACCAACGGCTCTCAGTTCTTCCTCACCACCGTCCCGACGCCTCACCTCGACAACAAGCATGTCGTCTTTGGCGAGGTCCTCAACGGCAAGTCCGTCGTTCGCCAGATCGAGAACCTCCAGACCGAGTCAGGCGACAAGCCCCTCAAGGACGCCGTCATTGCAGACTGTGGCGAATTGACCGGAGACGCCGCTCTGGCAGCCGACGTGAAGGCCCCGGACGCCATGGGCGACACCTACGAGGACTTCCCCGAGGACTGCGCAACCCCGCCTGATGCTCAGGAAGTCATCAAGATTGCTGCTGCCTGCAAGGATTACGGCAACAAGGCATTCAAGGCTGGCGACTTCAACCTCGGTCTCGAGAAGTACCAAAAGGGTCTGCGCTACATCAACGAGGAGCCCGACTTGGAGAAGGAGCCCGCTACTACAAAGGCGGAACTCCAAGCTCTCCGCTTCACCCTCAACAACAATTCGGCCCTGCTTAACATCAAGCTCGAGGCCTGGGATGATGCGGCGAAGACAGCTACGTACGCTCTCGATGTCTCCGGAACCAAGGACGCCGATCGCGCCAAGGCACTCTACCGCCGCGGCTTCGCCAACGTCCGCCTCAAGGATGAGGAGAACGCCATCAAGGATCTTGAAGAGGCGCACAAGCTCGTGCCGGAAGATAAGGTCATTCTCCATGAGCTTAATGCCGTCAAGCAGAAGGCGGCCGCCCGTGCGGCCAAGGAGAAGGCGGCTTACAAGAAGTTCTTCCAATAGGTGGAACCTCTCGGCAAGCGCGCAGCATGTACCGCACCGGGATCTGGACCGGGAAACACGGCGTAGAAGCAGTGCGGCTGTCTTGACGTGAGGCAGAGCGAAGACTGTTGGATGACGATTCTATGATCCGGGCGACTAAAAACAAGGGAATTCTCTTAATTCATTGGAACAATTTGTGGCGTACAGAGAAGCAGGCACTGGAAAATACAAAGAAAATTCATGGGTAGATACCTCAACTGAAAGTTCAATATCATTATATTATACACATTGCTCGTTGCGTTTTGTTCTAAAGGGAAATAAAATATGCTGTGACAAGTCTCGTGGCGTGAGTCTGAGCCAAGCCACGTAAATGCTAGTCATGATTTGTCTGGGTATATTCATTCGTGGCCCATGTTGCGACGGCTACCTACCCTACAACCAACCCAAGAAAAGTTGGCGAGGAAGAAGAGACGAACACGGGATGGATTGGGTGTAAGAAGAAAGTGAAAAACAAATGGGGCCGATCCTCCCTCCAACCGAATGCATCAACATGTAGAAAGGAACCTTTCCAAGCAGGCTCCGTTGATGAACATGTGCAAATGGAGAAACGCCAGAGGCGGTTCAGTTGATCCTTGCCCACCCAAGCCTGCCCTCGATTCCGGCACAGGTAACAGTAATGCAGAAGAGGCGCTGCCCTCCCGCACTCTCTTGACGCTCCAACCTGGGCGTATCCAGACATCCTCGTCGTGAAGAATGCAGAAACTTTGGCTCGTCGTTCAGCCGTTGAATTTTTTGGGTTTTGATTCGTATGCGTATGCGTATATATCGAAGTAGTGATGAACAAAGGAAAATGAGTGGAAAATAAGGCACCTCAATAGCCAGTGTTCCATGATCGGTCAAGATTCTTGCCGCGTGTTGTGGATGGAGACGACTCAGGCGAGTCGCTCCGCGCAAACGGCTTCATAATTCCAGACAGAATGTGACGGGTAGCCCTGCCATTACGCTTGAGCGTAGCCAAATGCGAAGACGCGTGCTCTGAATGTCCAGACGCTTGCCGCAAAGAGCTGAAATCTCGGCCACGGCGATGCTCACGACTTCTTCGCGTAGGAACATCGATCAATACATCGCTACCAGCCGACCCGGGGGGTTGATAATTATCTTGGTCAAGCCAAACTGTAGACGTGTTCGCTGAGGTTGGCGCTGAGTGGTTGTTGTGATGCGTGGAAAGGCTCATGGAATCCAGAATGGCAGAGTTTTGCTCCATGGCGTCGGCGAAATCGGAGGCAGGAAGGGACGCAGTCTCGTGAGAAGAACCATCCAGTTTCGAGTAGCATAGGTCGGCGCGCTCCTGCAACACCAAACACATTTCATTAAAAATGAGGATGTCGTCTTCGCCGCCTACAGGTTTGACTACCTCCCCGTTTCCGATAGGATTGGCCTCAGTCCACATCTTGACCAACGCTGCGAAATTGCGAGCGTGATCAATCAAGTGAGGCAGTGCAGGGAACCCTTCACGTGCCGTTGGCGATAGCCGTCCAAGAATCGCGATAGGGGTTGAATAGGATGGACCCAGGGCGACCTTATTGCGTTCGACAGGAATGGCACAGATCGTGTCGATGTAGTCCTTTACCGACTGACGGTTGGAACCCAAAAATTTGTTCATTGGCTCCATCCATTCTTCCTTCTTGCCAAACGTAGACAGGTTTCCAAGGGCCTGGAGAGCCTTGGCAACCAGTGTGAGCGTTCGCTGTGCTCGAGGTCTAGGGTGATCCCTCAATAGACCAAAGAGCTTGGGACTCAAAATTGCCGGGCAAATGAAACGAAGGAACAAGAAGCCCGAGACGCTCGTGTAAGTGACGGTTCGTAGCCAGTCGCCGTAGCGATCTTCAGCCACGGCTCGTACATATTTGAGGATTGACCGAAGTTCCGGTGGGCATTTCGTGGGCTCCTTGCAAATGCATTGCCACACCTCCGTTGTCAACTGTATGAGTCTTGTCCAATGCTCCTGGATGTTTTCACCAGGTTTGAGCTTGCTCGGATCGACTTCGCAGTTGGGGTTGGTCTCGTTAATCTCGAAAATCTTGGCTTGCAACATCTGCTCAAGATACTCCTTTCCTGACCTCCTCATGTGGAATTCGAGAGCTTGCGTCAGCAGCGTATTGCCTCGGAACAACAAATTGGCCTCTCCCGCAAGAGATTTACCCATGTCACGAAGAATCTGCTCCCTGTCGCTGGATGAATCCATGGACTCATTCGATTTCAAGCGACTGCTGAATCGGTACTTCTTCATCTGGTTTTGGCTGCCGCCAATGCCGTCGATCTCGTCTTCGACCAGTGTTTGCAGCCATTCGTTCGCATGACCAGACACTTGGAAGATGTTTAGAAAGATCTCGGAAAGCCGCCGCAGATTGCCAGGAAGCGCATCAGCAATCTGAGCGGTAAGACCGGACGGAAAGCTATGAAGCAAAGTTGACAGCGCCTGGTATTCCTTAGAATGAAGAACGACGAGCTCCTCGTGATGGAGCTTCACAAGCATTGTGCCCATAACTTGCTGTCGTTCGTCATAAATCTCAAGCCACCGCTCGAAGTCTTTGCCGGGTTCGACATGGTCCAAAGGGATGTCGACAGAGCCGCAAAGAACCTCAGTCAGATTTCCAGTCTTGGGCAAACCAAGCGATGCCTGCAATTGGTGGCTGAAACTTTCCAGGTTCCCGTCCACTCTTTTCAGAATAATGGAAAGGAACGGCATAGTCGGCGGAAGGTCCGAAAATTGGTAATCTTCCCGCCAGAAAGGATTCTTGGTTCCAGTTTTAATCGTTGATCGAGCGCGGACCTCGCCATCCAGTATGACTTCTGTCAAGTAGTTGCCCATCAAAGGGTCTGCGTCCTTGGGCTGTCGGTCGATGAAACCAACGTCGGGAGAACAAGTCTTCGGTCTCAGTTTTGCCTCCGTCACCCGTAAGCTGATTGTCTTCTCAATCCTGAATATCTCGCCGGAAAGCTCTGACTCCAAATCCGTAACCTCCAACGCTCCTTCGGCTGAAGGCGAATCCAGTCGGAAAATATCCGGCAGCGCGAATGCTCGAAGAAGAACAAACCAGACTTCGAATAAAAGACGATTATCCAGGGCGATGTACACAGGACGGAATATGGAAAGCTGTGTAGATATCGGAGAATAGTGTGGGAAAATGCCAATGCAGTACTCTTCGTCCAAAACTGACCGGTTCAGCTGTTGAATGGCGCATCGAGATAGTTGAGACAGCTCGACCACGGCGATGACAGCCTCGCCATCTCTTGTGGTGAGTCGGACCTCTCCGTTTTCTTGGAGGAGTAGGGAAACTACCCGCCAAGAAGTAGCTGGCGATCTCAGATCCCTTGTGGAAGGTCTTTTCACGATGGACCTCGGCGAATTCGCCAAGCCCTTATCCCAAAGTCTCACTTGGCCGACCTTGATGAACGCAGTGGTAGTCTTCGCTGTTCCATTCTCGGAGCCACGCCTTCTCACTGCTGGGCGCAGGGCGGTAGGCGCAGGACTTCGATTGCCGTTCGAAAGTTTCACTTTCGGAGGTCGAAGTTGTTGCCAGCAGAGCAAAGCTGCAAGCCAGAGGTCTGTTTCTTCTGCTAGAAGCGGATGTATCAGAAGATCCAATGGGGGTTGGATGGGACACGAAACGTCCAAGCATCTTTTCCCATCAGGTAATGTGACTGGCGCAACTCGACATCCGCGGAGGTCGGATATGAGGGGGATGTGAAATGGCCCATCATGCCCCGAGTCAAACATCAAACTTCCCTTCTCTTCGTCCACGTATGCAATACCAAGCTGCCATGGACCCCGAGAATCAGTTTGAAATTCGATTTCACCTCTCATGCGCCCACATAGATTTTTCATCATGAGCAGAATGTTGTTCGCATTTTCAGTCGGAACGGGAATGGGTAGCGAATCAACGGAAGGCGTTGAGCTTGTTGGCGGAGAGGTTGGCCGGGAAGACTGGCGCTTAATCAGACGTTTCGTTGACAACTTTTTCTCTTTCAAGCTGTTTGTGACACCTAAGGGAATCTCCGAGTGTCGGGCGGGAATAACCGAGGGAAATCCTAAGGACTCGATGGGAGGCGGTGGAGAGCGAGCATCGTCATACAAGGGCTGAGATCCAGACGAAGAAAACGACCCCACACGCTGGCGGCCCTCTCGAGAAGCAGCATTCATGAACTGCTGGCGTAGTGCGCCGTCCATGGTGTGTGTCCTCGGCCGAAAGCTGCTCTGCTGCCTCAGAGGCGGACTAGTCGAGTTGTTCTCGTAGGAGCTTCCACCGTATGTGTCATTAAACACCATTCCCTGTCGTCTCGAGAAGTCTCCCGGGATAGATCTCGGGGAGGTTTGGGGGGAGTTCGACGTGATGCCGCGGGGTATCTGAGGAGGGGCTGTCGGATCGAAGACGGCGTTCGCGGACGGCGTCGGCGAGAGGTCCGGATGATGGTACTCGGGTGTCACGGCGCGGATCGTGGGGTTTGACGGATGGTTAGAGCGGAATGAGGTGCGTAGGTTGGAAATTGAGACGCGTTCCATGCCGCGAGACGACGAGTCTGCGGACAAGGTCTGGTTCTGGGATTGCTGCCAATCGTGGCGCGGCGTAACGTTGTGAACCCCGTTGTGGTAGGTTCGTCCATCCATTCCCGGTGGTGCCATGCTCATTCCATGGTTTGTCCTCATTTGGGGTCCGCCCGCATTTGAGGTTTGGTGATTCTATGTGCGTCCCCGGAATTCGTCGTCTCTTCCAGAGCTGCACCTGAGCGTCCCACCACGTCTTGTCTTCCGTAAACTAGCCAGCACGTCTTTCTGCCTCCTCCGAAATTGAGAGATGGCCGATTGGATTCTGCTTCCGAGGATAATCTGTGTGCCACGACGCAACAGCAAGCATAATAGTTGCTGAGCAATATTTCAGTAAATCGCAAATCGAGTCTTACAGGTGGAAGTCGAGTGCGAAGCTCGTTGGTCGGTGTTTACGCTTAATGTCGTTGAGAGGCGGACGACTTTCAGCTCCGACAGCGAGAAAAGTTGGTGCGCAGCGAAGTCGCTCCAACAGGAATTTAGGCGGGCTTCACAATGCGACACGGAGCTGTGGTGGCCAACTGTTACGCCAGCCCTGGCAAGGCAGAGTGACGAGCGAACGAGCGAGCGGGAAGAGACGTAGAAATGGATCAGCGGCGGGATGAGAGGTTGAGAGCGGGGGATTTCGGTGGTAGATCCACAGGTCCAAGGTGGGATGATGCAGGGTTGCAACGATGAGCGGCCGTTCGAGCTCGGGGGCGAGGACGGGGACAGTTCGGCTTCGTACGGTGTTTGCTGGTGCTGTCAAAAGTCGCATAGGTGACGGATGAAAAGAGAGTTTCGTCCCAATGGAAGCGGCAGCAACGGGTGTCGGAAGGCGGCGACGGAGGCGGTAAAGAGGAGACGTCCAACGCGGGGGATGGAAGTTGGGGATGTCTGAGCGAGACGAGAACGGCGCGCGCAGACAAGAAGCGAGAAAAATCGGCAACGGGGCGAAGGGGGAATGCGTTGTTGGTAAATGCAGCGATGGCGCTTTGAGTGGGTTCGAATGGTATTAATTGCTTTTTTTTCCTTTCTCTTACTCTTTCCACTTCTTTTTTTTTCTTCTTCGTCGCTTCGTTGCAAATTCTTGGGGACCCAGAACGGAGATGGAGCCGGGGAGCTAAGTATTATTGCTGATTATGTGTTCGGCGAGGTGGAATCGATCACCAAGGATGTTGCTGCTTGTCCATGGACTTGGTCGGCCAGCGTGCTGCTACGGCTTGCATATTAAGGCTGCTTCAAACTCCAGGGTAGAACAGGCAATCGGGCAGGGCCTGTGGAACCACGGAGGATCAGGGCAGGGAAGATGGCGAAGACTGGGGACGGGGCTAGTTGGCAAGCGAGATACCCAATGTCAGCGGAGGGAGGATTCGACCATGGGCTGGGAAAAGCAAGCGAGAAGATGGCATGGATGAGGGTTGTCTGAAGGAGAGTTGGATGGCTGGGGGGGGGGGGGGGACAAGGCGAGGAAGAAAAAGGGCTGATGAGGGTGATGTATTGGAGGGAAGGGGTTTGATTGCTGGGCAGGCCGCACTGATAGGAAGGCGAAGTTGTTTGCAGGCTGCTCGTAGATGGATCCAATGCTGCAAGTTGTCGAGGGAGAATGAGGCCAAGGTGGCGGAGGAGGTGAAGTAGTATTCGGGATGCAATGGAGGCCAGGGGTCGTCGGTCTGTTGCATTTGCTGCCGTGGTTTGCGTGGAGGGTATAAGATGGGAAGACGAGGTGATATTTGCAACACGACAACTGTCACAGAAGCAGGAATCCAGCCAGGCAAGGGGGTGAAGGGGAAGACATAACATGAGCGAGCTGAAGGACGAGGCGCGAAGGAGACAATAGAAAGAAGCAATAAAGCAAAAGAGAAGTGACTTACAGACGGGGAAATGGGTACGTTGGGGTTGTCTTTTTGGGCGCCCGTCAAATCCGAGAAGGACGAGGCCCTGGCAGGATACAGGAGGATGATGCTGCTGGACCAGGTGCCGCTGCCAATAGGAATTCAACGGCGGTGCTGCAGGGCATGCACATGGAACGAGACTATATCGAGCCAGCGAAGAGTTGGTGGTGGTAATGGTGGTGGCAGTCGGTGAGACAAGGTACCATGGGTTCTTTCTTGCAGTTGCAGCTGTGTACCCCGGGCGAGAGGAGAGCGTGGGGACTGAAGAGGAGGCGGCGACGAGAGGAGAGGCAAGATATCGACTGCAGACTGCAGATGGGGGATTTGTTGGCCGAAAAATCCGCCGATGGCAATGATAAGGCGCCGGTAGTTGAGACGGAATTAGGCGGGCTATCGGTAGAAAGTTGTGTGATTCGTCGAGATGAACGGAGTTTGACCAATTCGTGGTAGGTTGGATTGGCGACGGAAGGAGAGTGTGAGAGAAGTTCTGGTTCCTGAAGTAAGGTAGCGGGGACGAGGAGGAGAAAGAGAGAATGAAGGACCTGAGTCCCAAGAGGGAGGAGGATGATGATGATGGGAAAGTCAGGTTGCTGTTGTCAGCACCTAAGGTATCCCTAGGTACCTACCTACCTACGTGTCTATGGTAAAATACATTGACACACTGGGAAGGAAGGTGAGGTACGTGGTAAGGCAGGTAAGCAAAAAGTAAGGTAGAGGAAGGCACTTTCCTTGAAGTGAGGTGGTTTGAGGTGAGGCAATGTAAGGTAAGGTAGGTAAAGAAGGTACTGCTCGTTGCTGAGGTACCTACCTAAGGTACTTTACCTACCTTAGGTAGGTATTGCTATTGCTCCTACCGTTGCCATTGCCATTGACCAAGTTGTGCCTGCTTGCTTGGTGCTTGCCTTCCTTCCACTCATTGCTTGCTCGTTAAGGTAGGTAAGGTAAGGTAGGTCGCTTGCTTGCAAACCTACCTCAACTGAGGTGGCAGGTACCGAATTTCCACCTGTACGTCTTCCATTGTTTTGGGCCATGTCTTAGCACGCACCGCAGCTCGCCCTAAGGAGTAAAGCTCGACGGAAAGTACTTTGATACATCTGAATGGTCTTAGATGCGTAAGGTATATTAAGGGACAGCTACTTTAAGGTAACAAGCCTATTCGACGACCGGCTTACTTGCCTTGCCTCAAAATGCATCGAAAGTTATCTGTTAATTTGCCAATGGACCCCCCGAGAGGTCGGCGAGAAACTGACAAACGCATAGCGAGCGTGAGAGACTCGGCACAAGGCAAGGTTTCCAAGACGAGGTCCCCCAACCCCCAATGATGGACTTACGATACCTAGGTACGGTACGTAGATAGGTAAGGTAAGGTAGCCTCCATGTCTCTTATCGCGCGCAGTCCTTCTTGCACGACCATCTCATGCATACATCTGACTTTAAGGTAGCTGAACAGCATCTTTAGAATCAAGGGCCAATCAACCTCCTTACCTCAGCTGCGTCTCCCCTTCCATTGCTCAACTTTAGATGCCGGCTTCTCTTTTCACTTTGTTCGTTGTGGCCATCAAGTGCGGCGCGTGACCTCGCACCGTGACGATCACCTTGCTACAAGAACTCAGAAAGCAGACTACGCCGAGCGTCAAGCTCAAGCGCATCAAGCATAATTGGCTCAATCTCATCCCTTGGGACGCGCGAGGCACGGCACAATGACGGTGAAGAGCATCAGGTGCCGCCCTTTGCTGCTCGACCTTGCCCGGACTGGCCGCTCAAT